CACCTCTGACAAAGACGTAAGCAGAGTAGGTCTCATATTTAGACTTGGTGGTGATGCGCAGGGTGTAGAGCCCCTCGTCCTCTTTGTTCAGGTGTGTCAGGGTCAGCGTGGCCTTGTCTCCACTCCAGTGCATGTGACACCACTTGGAGGGCTGCAGAAGAACATCTGATGGAGAGAGAAACAGAGTGAGAGAAGAGAGAGATAAGGTTATAATGGATGGATAACATTGTCAGATCTACACTGCTAATGACAAACACAGAGAGAGTGAGAGAGAGGGGGGGGGGGGGGGGGGGGGGGATAAGAAGAATACCAACACATTCTAAGCTGGTCCTTAATTAATGAAATCTTTCTGATTGAGAGGGGGTCAAACATTTTATAAATTGATTTGCATTTTAATGAGGGAAATAAGTATTTGACCACCTCTCAATCAGAAAGATTTCTGGATCCCAGGTGTCTTTTATACAGGTAACGAGCTGAGATTAGGCGCACACTCTTAAAGGGAGTGCTCCTAATCTCAGTTTGTTACCTGTATAAAAGACACCTGTCCACAGAAGCAATCAATCAATCAGATTCCAAACTCTCCACCAAAGAGCTCTCCAAGGAGACCAAAGAGCTCTCCAAGGATGTCAGGGACAAGATTGTAGACCTACACAAGGCTGGAATGGGCTACAAGACCATCGCCAAGCAGCTTGGTGAGAAGGTGACAACAGTTGGTGCGATTATTCGCAAATGGAAGAAACACAAAATAACTGTCAATCTCCCTTGGCCTGGGGCTCCATGCAAGATCTCACCTCGTGGAGTTGCAATGATCATGAGAACGGTGAGGAATCAGCCCAGAACTACACGGGAGGATCTTGTCAATGATCTCAAGGCAGCAGGGACCATAGTCACCAAGAAAACAATTGGTAACACACTACGCCGTGAAGGACTGAAATCCTGCAGCGCTCGCAAGGTCCCCCTGCTCAAGAAAGCACATATACAAGGCCGTCTGAAGTTTGCCAATGAACATCTGAATGATTCAGAGGAGAACTGGGTGAAAGTGTTGTGGTCAGATGAGACCAAAATCGAGCTCTTTGGCATCAACTCAACTCGCCGTGTTTGGTGGAGGAGGAATGCTGCCTATGACCCCAAAAACACCATCCCCACGTCAAACATGGAGGTGGAAACATTATGCTTTAGGGGTGTTTTTCTGCTAAGGGGACAGGACAACTCATCAAAGGGACGATGGACGGGGCCATGTACCGTCAAATCTTGGGTGAGAACCTCCTTCCCTCAGCCAGGGCATTGAAAATGGGTCGTGGATGGGTATTCGAGCATGACAATGACCCAAAACACACGCCAAGGCAACAAAGGAGTGGCTCAAGAAGAAGCACATTAAGGTCCTGGAGTGGCCTAGCCAGTCTCCAGACCTTAATCCCATAGAAAATCTGTGGAGGGAGCTGAAGGCTCGAGTTGCCAAACGTCAGCCTCGAAACCTTAATGACTTGGAGAAGATCTGCAAAGAGGAGGGGAACAAAATCCCTCCTGAGATGTGTGCAAACCTGGTGGCCAACTACAAGAAACGTCTGACCTCTGTGATTGCCAACAAGGGTTTTGCCACCAAGTACTAAGTAATGTTTTGCAGAGGGGTCAAATACTTATTTCCCTCATTAAAATGCAAATCAATTTACATCATGCGTTTTTCTGGATTTTTTTGTTGTTATTCTGTCTCTCACTGTTCCAATAAACCTACCATTCAAATTATAGACTGATCATGTCTTTGTCAGTGGGCAAACTTACAAAATCAGCAGGGGATCAAATACTTTTTTCCCTCACTGTATATATCAATGGAGGCTGCTGAGAGGAGAAAGGCTTATAATAATGCCTGGAACGGCGTAAATGGAATGGCATCAAACACATGGAGACATTTTGTTTGATGTATTTGATACCTTTCCACTTATTCCGGTCCAGCCATTACCATGAGCCCGTCCTCCCCAATTAAGGTGCCACCAACCTCCTGTGATATATGTATATATAGTATATTTTCAAGGACCCCCTTCAGTACCTCCGTGGACCCCTAGCGGGGCCGTGGACCTCCAGTTGAATACCCGTTTTACAGGGTTCAATTGGGCCTACGCCTGCATGACTTTCCAGGGTACAGACTAATTGTAATATGTTAAACACATATGACATATGTACAGTATACGTGTGGGCTTCTGAAATATCTTAATCATAGCTTACATACACATAATCTCAAGTAGCTCTCAGTCTCATGTGTTCTGCCTGTCAGCGAGTCTTAGACATGGAGACGAACATACAGTATCAGCGGCCTAATGCATCACACAGATGACAACTGGGTAGGTCTCAGCCAAGGAACCTCCAGGAATGTCTCTCTCCATAGCCCAGGGGCCGTATGTATCAAGCATCTCAGAATAGGTGTGCTGATCTAGGATCAGATCTTGCCTGTCCATGTAACCTTATTCAAACACTGCCAAGAGTTTCCAGAGCTCTGGGGCTTCACCTACCGTCTCTGTACCACTGAACCTCAGGCTGGTAGCGTGCCAGGTTGGGGGAGATGATGACCGTGGCGCCCAGGCTCATGGTCTCGCCCTCCCGTCCGAACGACACGCCAAACCCATCCACGATGTGGGTCTCGAAGGTGATGCCATACTCAGAGACCATGCCATCTGACAGGAAGGAGCACCAAACAACATGGGGTCAGAGTTCAGGTCACCATTGTGTTCCCATCATGCAACACTGTGTGGTGTGACACACCTGAAATTCGGACACCTGCGTGCATTATTGTTCCAATCCAAGGGATGGACAAACAAAGGGCAATTAACTGTTCTTCGGAATGCTAACTTTTAAGCATCTGTGTCCAAAAAGCAAGTCATTATCTCTTATAGCATTTTTCACAATTAATTTTTGACATTTTGGTATGATTGATGATGTAACTTAACATTATCTGGTAGCATTACATTTGATCCATTCCCTCCCAAGAGAAAGTGACATAAAAAGAACCCCACACAGACTCAGGTAAAACTATGCAAACACACAGGGGTGTGAATAGGAACACCTTGATGTACCCAAAAGACAACATAAAAACCCCATTAACATCATTAAGTACAGTGTTCCAACACCAAATACTCACTACAGTGTGTACAAACCACACTGGGGAAACTAAGGTGCACATCATGCAGTAGACAGTGATGCACATTTGACATATTAAACCCTAGAAGTCTTTAGACTTCAATCCAACATATATCCAATCTTAGCGTCTAATTAGATTTTAATATTATTTAAAAATGGATTATTAATATGACTAATCAACAACAATTGAGTTTAGATAAAACTAGAACTCTTCAGGCTTTGTTGCCATGTAGGGAAAGGGGATACCTAGTCAGTTGCACAACTGAATGCATTCAACCGAAATGTGTCTTTCGCATTTAAACAAACCCCTCTGAATTAGTATGCAGCTAATCAGATGCTCTTCAGATTACAGTAATCTATACTCTCAAATCACTATTATCCAGGTTGTACATTACAGTGTTTTTTTCTCTATATTGTTTCATAGCTTCTCTATGTCACACTCGAGTTTACAGTATTTAACTTCCAAGGCACTATGACATACAATTTCAAAAACCTCATACTTGCCAAAATGTTCAAGTATTCTGTTGTTTACGATTAAAAAAAGAGGCACGTTTGTCACGCTGAACCATCTGTGGATCTTTCACAGGCAATTCAACGATTATTATTAAGGTATTATCACAGGTTCTTTCCAAACAGATGCACAAATAGTGATCATGCATACACATTGAGTGACACTCAGTGAATACACCAAGTTGACCAAAATGTCATCAAACAAGAGCAGAGCTTTTTTAGAGAACCTGTTACCTTCGTTGTCTGTTGACCTTGCTGTGCCCAGTGTCAAGGGAACAAAAAAGCTGTTAGTGCAATAGCACCCATGGAGTCCCCAGGTCTTCCCACCCCCAGCTTAGCATACTGTAAATAGGTTATGTTAATACGGTTTAGTATACATTAGTATATATATTTTTCATGTTAATACTATACATGTATATGAGTATTGAGGAATGAGTATATACAGTATGAGTATATATATGAAATGATATTCCTCTGACTTACGTCTGGGCATGGGGAGAGCCTCCTCTACCTCTCCTTTGAATCCTAGAGTAGAATGAACAAATAGGTACATATTATTAACATGTTAAAAATAGGAAATAACAAAGAATTGACTTTCTTTCTTTTAAACTTACAATAAACTTTGTGAGAGCAGCACTTAGAAGGACAGTGATTTTCTAAATGGGGTAATCATGGGAATTATTGTCTACTCTAATTCATTGTAGAGGCACAATATGACGAGTTATCTAATAGAGGTAATTACATACTCTGACATATTGATAGCATTGAAACATACTCTTAACAACGATGGAGGCAAAGGAAGAGAGTTCTCCCTTGCTGTTCATGGCAGAAACACGATACTGTGCAGTATCATCAAAATCACATCTGAAACGAGAAAGAGAGAGCGAGAGAGAGAGAGAGAGAGAGAGAGGACCAGGTGAATCAATGTCCCGGATACACACGTTTCTGTCTCCTAATGGTTCACGTGTACGTTAATACCCTCTACCCACCCCCTCCCCGCTAGGACGCGTAAATCAACACACAGCTATGTGAGCTGGGACTGTAAAATGCTCCAGAACTCCAGGCCGGGAATACTCTGGGAATAAATAGACACTGTGATGATGTCATCATGTGTCAGGTGGTATATGTGTCTGTATGAATGTTATGTGTGGTTAGATTCTATCATGGAAACATACTTTTCAACTTTCTATAGAGAGGAAGCTACACACTACAGTGAGGGAAACAAGTATTTGATCCCCTGCTGATTTTGTACGTTTGCCCACTGACAAAGACATGATCAGTCTATAATTTTAATGGTAGGTTTATTTGAACAGTGAGAGACAGAATAACAACAAAACAATCCAGAAAAACGCATGTCAAAAATGTTATAAATTGATTTGCATTTTAATGAGGGAAATAAGTATTTGACCCCTCTGCAAAACATGACTTAGTACTTGGTGGCAAAACCCTTGTTGGCAATCACAGAGGTCAGACGTTTCTTGTAGTTGGCCACCAGGTTTGCACACATCTCAGGAGGGATTTTGTCCCACTCCTCTTTGCAGATCTTCTCCAAGTCATTAAGGGTTCGAGGCTGACGTTTGGCAACTCGAACCTTCAGCTCCCTCCACAGATTTTCTATGGGATTAAGGTCTGGACACTGGCTAGGCCACTCAATGTGCTTCTTCTTGAGCCACCTTTTGTTGCCTTGGCTGTGGCTCAAGGCATAATGTTTCCACCTCCATGTTTGACGGTGGGGATGGTGTTCTTGGGGTCATGCTGGAATACCCATCCACGACCCATTTTCAATGCCCTGGCTGATGGAAGGAGGTTCTCACAAAAGATTTGATGGTACATGGCCCCGTCCATCGTCCCTTTGATGTGGTGAAGTTGTCCTGTCCCCTTAGCAGAAAAACACGCCCAAAGCATAATGTTTCCACCTCCATGTTTGACGGTGGGGATGGTGTTCTTGGGGTCATAGGCAGCATTTCTCCTCCTCCAAACACGGCGAGTTGATGCCAAAGAGCTCGATTTTGGTCTCATCTGACCACAACACTTTAGTGTGTTACCAATTGTTTTCTTGGTGACTATGGTCCCAGCTGCCTTGAGATCATTGACAAGATCCTCCGGTGTAGTTCTGGGCTGATTCCTCACCGTTCTCATGATCATTGCAACTCCACGAGGTGAGATCTTGCATGGAGCCCCAGGCCGAGGGAGATTGACAGTTATTTTGTGTTTCTTCCATTTGAGAATAATCGCACCAACTGTTGTCACCTTCTCACCAAGCTGCTTGGCGATGGTCTTGTAGCCCATTCCAGCCGTGTGTAGGTCTACAATCTTGTCCCTGACATCCTTGGAGAGCTCTTTGGTCTCCTTGGAGAGCTCTTTGGTGGAGAGTTTGGAATCTGATTGATTGATTGCTTCTGTGGACAGGTGTCTTTTATACAGGTAACAAACTGAGATTAGGAGCACTCCCTTTAAGAGTGTGCTCCTAATCTCAGCTCGTTACCTGTATAAAAGACACCTGGGAGCCAGAAATCTTTCTGATTGAGAGGGGGTCAAATACCTATTTCCCTCATTAAAATGCAAATCAATTTATAACATTTTTGACATGCGTTTTTCTGGATTTTTTTGTTGTTATTCTGTCTCTCACTGTTCAAATAAACCTACCATTAGAATTATAGACTGATCATTTCTTTGTCAGTGGGCAAACGTACAAAATCAGCAGGGGATCAAATACTTTTTTCCCTCACTGTACATGTGTGGTTGAGTTTGGAGGACTATGAGAAAACCTAAAGAATATCTCTCTCCATTTGACACAGCTCATGAGACACTTAAGTGTTTAGTCCTTTGTTAAGTGGCCTAAAATAAGCCACAACAGGGGCCCTCTATCTCCAAATAATTCCTCTGGCGAGGGAGTGGGTTATCTTTAGACGTCCTCTTTGTTATCGAAATGCAAGCTGCAAAATGTCTCGGATCATGTATAGCCTTCACCAACAGCTTTCTGGTGTCTGTCTTTGGCTAACAGAGCTAGTCAGGGCACTGGCGGATAGACAGGCAGGCAGGCAGACAGGCTAGTGGACAGACAGACAGACAGACGGACAGAGCTTGAGTCAGAGAGGGGTATCGATTTCACACATTTCAAATCATACTTCTAACAACCACAATCCACTGTCCCTCGAGTTCACAATGTGAGCCCATCCAAACATTCCCATGGTTGTCAGTGTGCCCACACACACAGGCCCCACACGGCCTTTCCTGAGAGTGGCGATTGTATTACACCATGAAGGGGTGTTAAAGGGACGTGGTGGTGACATCACACTGACATTTTACCACAGCCAGAGATGACTGTGGCTTGTTTGAAAGTATCTGTTAATACACAGCAATGAGCCACACAGAGAAGACATGGAAATGTATGTCTCAAGCGTCTCAGAGTAAGAGTGCTGATCTAGGACCAGGTGCCCGTCTGTCCATGTAATCTTATTCACTGTGTTCGAAAAGGCTAAAATGATCCTAAATCAGCACTCCTACTCTGAGACGAGTGATACATACCGGAAGACCCTGTGGCTTTGGGATTGTGCCTACCTGTTGATCTCCAGTGAGTGCACGTTGTAGCTGCTCTCTAGCTTATACTTGCCTGGGTGGGCCATTGGGTCGATTGTCACATTGTTTTTGTACCTTGTTATGGAAAGAGAAGAGAAGAGGAGAGAAGCAGAGAAAAATATGAAAAGCAGGAAAATAGAATTTAAAGGTACAGATCTGAATCAGGATAGAGACGCACGCTAGCTAGATAGACACCAGAGAAGTATTTATACTGTGTTTTATAGTGTTTTAGTGCAATGACATGAGGAAAGGATTGAGAGGGCAGCAATGGCTGATGCTCTATCCATAAGGGATTGATTTGGTGTGTATTGTGTTAGTGATCATTTGGTCATGTCAAGGTGTATCCAGGGAGGTGTGTGTGTGTATGCAATACTCACCAGACAACCCGTGGGTCAGGCCATCCAGAGACAGTACAGTGCAGCCTCACACACTGCTTCTCCCACACCGTGTGGGAGCGAGGCTTAATCACAAACTCAGGGGCGTGCATCAGGCTATCCTTGTTCATACGCTTGTGGTACTCCTCGTTCTCATAGATCTGGGGATCAATGTGTTCATTAAGCCTTCATAGAGCCTTCGTAAGGCATTCATAACACATTCCCATGGTGCAACAGTAAAACACTCTACATCCAGAACCCTTGCAGAAAACATGGCATTCCCCATAAATTCATAAAGAATTCCCGATGCATCCTTGAAGCAAACGCAAGGCATTTACAAGGCATTTGCTAGTTAATGAGTCTCTTAGAGCTGAATCCAAACTTGATATCTGTGCAAATAACAAAAGTAAAAATACATGTGATGATATCAAGTTATGGATTCGGGCCTCTGACCTCTTTACATATGCAGACTCCATGCACTTCTCTGTACGCAGCATGTGTCACAGTCCTAATTGATTGATTAGATTGATTGATTTATGTCCTAACCCATAACTATGGGTATGAAAACCTACTTGTGGATCCAATAACCCTTAACACATAATCCGACAGCACTCTCTGAACACTCTCTGTGTCTTAAGAAACCAGAGCTCCTGAGGAATGTCTCACCCAGTGGCATGGAGTGTTGGCAGAGGGGTGATAGTCTAAATACAGTGTGTGCCCCACTCAATGGTTACTGTAACTTTTATGATCCTCGTGAGTGATTAGGGCAGGATATTCCTTGACATAAACATTTGAATGAGGGACACAAATAACCTTCCAAGGGGATGGAAAGCAGAGTAGAATCAATCAATGGATTGAAACATTGCTCGTGGCAATACTTTTCCTGTGAAACTTTGCTAATGGATTTCTTAAGGTGTTCCCTCTGTGATGTCACAAACGTGAATATTCTTCTCTATGATGTAACAAAGGTAAATAAATACTATTCTCTATGATGTCACTGAGGGAAATAACGTCGCTCTGTGATCTAACAAGAGAAGGAATTGTCCAGTCAGAAGTCAACAAACTAAGTATATTCCATTATGATGTCATGAAAGAGAGTATTTTCCAGTATTACCCAATGTGATGTCACAATGGAATCCCACCCTCTATGACGTCACAAAGACAAAATATTCCCCATTATGATGACAGGAGGGAGAGTATTATCCAGTATTCCTCAATGTGATGTGACAAAGGAACACACTGTCCTATATGACATCAGGATCCTGCACTAACCCTCTTGCTCAGGGAAATGCGCTCGGCTGATTCGCGCATGGACACCTTCCTAGACGTCTGCTCCGTCCGCTCCATCTCCAACCCACTGGTGAACAGATTCCTCCGGGCCATGTATCCAGCATTCTCCTTCACCCGGGCCTCCTCCGTATCCGAAAACCCACTGGCATATTCCTGACTAGGGTGGGGGAGCAAAGCCAGGGAGGGGAGTGGGCAGTGGGGTCATTTTCATGGTCATTGGTCAGAACCACTCGCTGAAATCAAAAATCGCTAAGGTTCAAAGGTTGTTGACTGGTTTACCTGCCCCTGAAGATGGGCACTACATAGCCGATAATCTGGTTCTCTTTGTCCATAGCCAGGTAGGTGGGCTTGGCTCTCTTGGGCATTGGGCTCAGTCTGCTCTCCTCCAGGCCAGAGTATGAGGCACTAAGTCTAAGACACAGGATAGTGTCAATACAGCAGTGTAAACCTAACACAGTGTAGTAACATCAAACTAATGTGAACGTAATCTGAAGGGCTGGATGAGGAGGAGAAAGGGTATATTAAGTTATGGGGAATATTAATCATCAACAAGGAGGGTAGCTTAGGTGGGTTTAGCTGCATTTTTAATAACTATCTCAAACTGTGCAACAACAACAACAAAAAACTGTACACAGCAATTAAGTTCAATATTAATGATCAACAAGGAGGGTGACTTAAGTGCTTTTATCTACATTTCTGATACATTTCTCAAACTGTGCAATGAAGAAAAAGAAAACCCTGTACACAGCAGTGCATCGTCTACCAACAAACCTGGTGTAGCTACAAGGGATAGGCGTTGTTCGTTCATGCAGTGCAATGACATGTCTGCAATGACAAAATAAAATATAGAATTAAGACAAGGTCGGTCGTCTGTCATCATCAGTGTGCGGTTTTGACACTTGTTTTACTATATCAAACTCTTTAAACATAAAAAAAGACCAACGAGATGGAATGAAATGAAACATGGTGGTCATAGGAGAGGAGGTGAAGGGGAGATACACAGACAACCTCATCCCACTTGAAAAAGGAATAGAAAAAGATCCTCAGCTGAAAAACCCACAAACCTGATACTCTACGAACCAAACACTCAATACAACCTTTATTTAGGTTGCACCAAATTGATTCTCGCAATATCAACAAGTTATGCACAGGACTGTGCATTATTGGCCAAACAAATCGCTAGGCAATAGGAAATAGAGCCCCACCTATCTCGTATGTGTGTAATATGCATACAACCAACACGTCACTCATATCACACATGATAATCCTGACATATAATCATACAACAAACACAGACCAGATCCGTGAGAATGGAGGAAGGGATCAGGATTGGAGTAATTCTCCGGGAGGATGACTACAGTATATCTCCAATAAAAGCAGTGACGGAACACATAAGAACATGTTTCATACAGGCAAAACCACCAGAACTCATAAAGCCATGACATGGGAACCAGAGGAATTAACATTTATGAACCCCCTATGCATTTTCACATCATACAGTTGCTTGCGAAAGTATTCACCCCCCTTGGCATTTTTCCTATTTTGTTGCCTTACAACCTGGAATTAAAATGGATTTTGGGGGGGTTTGTATCATTTGAATTACACAACATGCCTACCACTTTGAAGATGCAAAATCTTTTTTCTTGTGAAACAAACAAGAAATAAGACAAAAAAAACAGAAAACTTGAGCTTGCATAACTATTCACCCCCCGAAAGTCAATACTTTGTAGAGCCACCTTTTGCAGCAATTACAGCTGCAAGTCTCTTGGGGTATGTCTCTATAAGCTTGGCACATCTAGCCACTGGGATTTTTGCCCATTCTTCAAGGCAAAACTGCTCCAGTTCCTTCAAGTTGGATGAGTTCCGCTGGTGTACAGCAATCTTTAAGTCATACCACAGATTCTCAATTGGATTGAGGTCTGAGCTTTGACTAGGCCATTCCAAGACATTTAAATGTTTCGCCCTTAAACCACTCAAGTGTTGCTTTAGCAGTATGCTTAAGGTCATTGTCCTGCTGGAATGTGAACCTCCGTCCCAGTCTCAAATCTCTGGAAGACTGAAACAGGTTTCCCTCAAGAATTTCCCTGTATTTAGCGCCATCCATCATTCCTTCAATTCTGACCAGTTTCCCAGTCCCTGCCAATGAAAAACATTCCCACAGCATGATGCTGCCACCTGCATGCTTCACTGGGGATGGTGTTCTCGGGGTGATGAGAGGTGTTGGGTTTGCGCCAGACATAGCATTTTCCTTGATGGCTAAAAAGCTCAATTTTAGTCTCATCTGACCAGAGTACTTTCTTCCATATGTTTGGGGAGTCTCCCACATGCCTTTTGGCGAACACCAAACGTGTTTGCTTATTTTTTTTCTTTAAGCAATGGCTTTTTTCTGGCCACTCTTCCGTAAAGCCCAGCTCTGTGGAGTGTACGGCTTAAAGTGGTCCTATGGACAGACACTCCAATCTCCGCTGTGGAGCTTTGCAGCTCCTTCAGGGTTATTTACATTTCTTTGGTCTCTTTGTTGCCTCTCTGATTAATGCCCTCCATGCCTGGTCCGTGAGTTTCGGTGGGCGGCTCTCTCTTGTCAGGTTTGTTGTGGTGCCATATTCTTTCATTTTTTTTATAATGGATTTAATGGTGCTCTGTGGGATGTTCAAAGTTTCAGATATTTTTTATAACCCAACCCTGATCTGTACTTCTCCACAACTTTGTCCCTGAACTGTTTGGAGAGCTCCTTGGTCTTCATGTTGCCATTTGCTTGGTGGTGCCCCTTGCTTAGTGGTGTTGCAGACTCTGGGGCCTTTCAGAACAGGTGTATATATACTGAGATCATGTGACAGATCATTTGAAACTTAGATTGCACACAGGTGGACTTTATTTAACTAATTATGTGATTTCTGAAGGTAATTGGTTGCACCAAATCTTATTTAGGGGCTTCATAGCAAAGGGGGTGAATACATATGCACGCACCACTTTTCTGTTATTTATTTTTTAGAATGTTTTGAAACAAGTTGTTTTTTCATTTCACTTCACCAATTTGGACTATTTTGTGTATGTCCATTAAATGAAATCCAAATAAAAATCAATTTAAATTACAGGTTGTAATGCAACAAAATAGGAAAAACGCCAAGGGGGATGAATAATTTTGCAAGGCACTGTATCTCTGTACTCCCCAGAGGCCCCTCACAGCATAATGTGTAGGATGGGCCATTCACAAGGGAGTAATATAGAGTCTAGACCCTCTCTCTGAGAATCTCTCTGGGATCAGGGTGACAGCGTCTGGGGCCCTCGTGGAGGTGGGGGGTTGGGGTGTGGGATGACAGTGTCAAAGTGCTGATAAGGAGCGGTTGGGGGGACAGCAGGAGCAAGAACGGTGAACAGGGGGACCTACCAACCCCACACAGTGCCTGGTTGAGTGGCTGTCAGTGTAAACAGAGAGAAGAGGCGACAGAACACTGACGACTATGAAACAGAACAACAAATCCATCAGGATCACTGTTTCCCCACCCCGACCCTCTAGGACCCCTGATAATGCCACTTGTCATTGAAGGATCAGGGTTGGAAAAACACTCATCTAGATGGATTACGATAAGGAACGCGCTTATTCCAGAATGTGAACGCAGGAAAGGCAATCCGCATTCAATGAGTATTCCTAATGGAACAATTAGTATGTCAGCACAATACCATGAACATCTCCAGTTCATAACTGCTGGTATGTCACCATCATAATCAGACTATAATAAACAAAGGGAAAGCTGTGTAAATTCCTGACAGCATGAGGTTTAATCATAAAGGCCCAAATGAGGGACCATTAGCTACACAGACACCCTTTGACCTCCCATGCACAATGTCAAGGCCAGTGTATGTACACTACAGAGATGCCAGGTGCTCCTAAGAGAAAGACCCCCCAACATTTCAACACGTTATCATCCAATACAATAACAAATAATTCAAACAACAATTAACGTCCCAGGTAGCCTGGCAGGTAGGAGCGTTGGGCAAGTAACCGAAAGGTTGCTGGATCAAATTCCCGAGCCGACAAGGTAAAAATCTGTCATTCTGCACCTGAACAAGGCAGCTAATCCACATTATAAACTGGGTGGTTCGAGCCCTGAATGCTGATTGGCTGACAGCAGTGGTATATCAGACGGTTTACCACGGGTATGACAAAACATTTATTTTTACTGCTCTAATTATGTTGGTAACCAGTTTATAATAGCAATAAGGCACCTCAGAGGTTTGTGATATATGGCCAATATACCACAGCTAAGGACTGTGTCCAGGCACTCCGTGTTGCGTCGTGCGTAAGAACAGCCCTTAGCCGTGGTATATTGGCCATATACCACACCCCCTCGGACCTTATTGCTTAAATAACAACTGTTCACCAGGCGCCGATGATGTCGATTAAGGCAGCCCCCCGCACCTCTCTGATTCAGAGGGGTTGGGTTAAATGCAGAAGACACATTTCAGTTGAATGCATTCATTTGTACAACTCACTAGGTATCCTTCCTTTCCCTTAAAGAGATGTATGAGCCCTGTTTTCACAGGTCTGGGAAATCCACAGGGGAACACAATCACTGACCCCAAATCAGACCTTAACTCATAGCCAACTTCAAATCATGTCTCCAGAGCACAAAGCAGTAGAAGCCTCTAGGAGAAGTATGCTTAAAAGCCATATGCTTTATGTACTCACTCAAAATCTTTGCTTAGTGTGAGATGAAGTCCCCCAATGGAATACTGTACTGGCTGAACAAAATAAAACCTCTTAATAGGGAAACAAGACTTTAAGAAAGGAACAGATAATTACCACAGCTCACATTCCCTGGGACATGGTATGCATGGGTCAGGATGCCATTTCCATCTATAACCCATATACCATACCACTGCATTATATAACAGTGCATTCCTTTAAAGCTTGCTTATACCCAACTTACAGCAAACATTTTATGACGACCGAGTCAATGTGAATCTGAGATGCTCTATTTCTGGTAAACTGAACTATAGTGGGAACTAGGAAAGGGTTGTCTTAAAATAAAAATGTGCATTAGTTCAAAAGCAGACAGGGCAGCGTGCAACAAACACCACTATGAAAGCTGGGATGAACAGTATCCATGCATATGGCTCCTTGGAACTTCACGCAGGATTCACAGACATATTATATACAGTACCAGTCAAAAGTTTGGACACCTACTCATTCCAGGTTTTTTTCTACATTGTACAATAATAGTGAAAACATCAAAACTTTGAAATAACACATATGTGTAGTACCCAAAAAGTGTTAAACAAATCAAAATATATGTTATATTTGATATTGTTCAAAGTAGCCACCCTTTGCCTTGATGACATCTTTGCACACTCTTGGCATTTTCTCAACCAGCTTCATGAGGTAGTCACCTGGAATGCATTTTCAATTA